TTCCCTGCAAGAAAATACATTTCGGTGAACAAATCATTTGATTTAATTTCACTGCATGAATTTGACAATTGCTTTTGAGGGAATTATCTTCAACCATAATTATCCTAAGGGCCTGTTCACATGAGATCAGGTCCTGATCAGCAGACGTGGAGCTGCAGTGCAGTGCGTTTTTGGCTGCGTTTTTGATGCGTTTGCGTTTCCTGACCGTTTCCGGACCTGACAAAATGTGACATGCAGTATTTTTTCTGTCGTAACCTGAACGGACTGCGCACGTGAGAACTGGAGCCCATAAAACACATAGGGATACATTGGGATGCATTTTGAGTGCAGCAGCGTACGGAGCCGGTCAGCACACAAAACGGACGTCGTGTGAACAGGCCCTCAAAGATTCTCCCACTCGGTAATATTTTAAAGGTTTTTCGGTGTTCGAAATCTGTTTTTTCTTTTCTCTCTAAATGATATCTGAAGCCAAAACGTTCTTTTTAATTTTGGATAGAGAACGGAAAGGTTAAAACCCCTGGCAGGTTTTCTTTTTGCCATCAATGTCCTATTAGGAAGATTTTGCTTCACTTCCTGTCTTGTAGGCACAATAGGAAGTGAGAGGCAGTCTCTCTAAACTAAGGCTTTTCCTTCACTTTGAAGACTGGATCGTTGTCACTGGAACAAGTGTCCCTACTGGCGGGATTTTTCTGCTATTCCTGTTTTGGGGGCAACTGAAAAGTTAGGTTTTCCCCTCACTTGTTCTGCACGGTGTCTCTGTGTGGAGGCGGCCATCTTGGTAGAGGCAGGTCTTTGGTTCATGTCAAAGCCTTTAGCAAGGAGAACAGTGACATCACTCCTCTCCATATCTCCTGAGACTAGCAGTCAGAGGCAGCAGTGCCTTAGATCTCCCACTGCAGATATACAACTAGGAGGCTGTGGGTATAGGAGTGTCTAGGCACACTCTCATATTAGAGAGCACACGGCTGTTTTTCAGAAGGAATTTAAGACGAATGGTAAACTTTTCGGGGAAACTGTTTTGATACAATAAACATTTTCTAAATGTTCCCTATAACATAGAAAATGTATCGCTTTAAGATTTGATCAAAAGTGTCTCTAAAGCCAAATGACATTTTGAATACAATGAGCAAGAGTGTGAATCTATGGAGGGGTTTTTAGAACTGATTCACCTTCTCTGTCGGTCCTTTTCGGATGTATCCAGCTACCAGCAACTTGATTACAAAAAAGTGATTACCTCATCGTGCAGAAATGTCGCCAAATATTGTATACAGATGATGAATTCACTTTTAAATTATGAAGAAAAATCTTTATACTTTTGTATTTTATTGCTCCCTTAAAAAGTTTTTTTTGTTCCTCCTTCAGGATAAAGTGGCCAATGTATGGTGCAGTCTGAGCGTCCTGTTTAAAATTAAAACTGTGTTGTCAGCGGAGAACCAATTACATATCAGGCAAGTCAATGATCTGTTGTTAGTCAGCGTGCGTTCTTTGTACATATTAGACAGTATGTGTGGCTATAAACCAGCCATTCTCGATGCTTAGTTGGTATAAGAACATAAAAGAATAATTTGCATGGCTGCACCCCCTATCCTATAATACGGATTTAGGATAGTGGGCGGAGCCATGCAAGTTTAAGGATTTGGGGTGGAAGTGAGAATTGCAGACAATCCTTTGTTAGAAGGCTGTATTGTGCTTCATGATAATTGAGTAAAGGGCACACACACACCCCCCCCACACACCCCACCACACCACACACCCCACACCCCAAATGTACCTGTCGGTGATTACTGAATGGGCGGCTTAGTGGTTAGCACTTGTAGCTGCACTGGGGGGGTCCTCAGTTTGAATCCTGGCTAGAACATTATCTGCATGGGAGTTTACATGATCTCTCTGTGCTTATGTGAGTTTCCACCAGGTACTTAAGTTTCCTGCACACTCCAAAGGCATGCTGAAAGGTTAATTAGCTTCTGTCTAAAACGTCCCTGTATGAATGCATGCATGTATGTGAGATGGGGACCTTAGATTGTAAGCTCCATGAGGGCATGAACAGCGCTAAATAAATAAATAAATCTCAGAAGCATCTCCAACTGATCTCATATGCGGCTGAATGCACCGGTAGGCGCGCTGCATTTGCCCATCGACAGAACGTGTAAACTATCCACCTTTCAATGCGGCCCATCACACAATGCATTTTTATTTATCAGCATTTGTTCAGCAAACCCCCTGCATTGGTGTGCTGTTCACATTACCAGTAGAAGGGAAATCTACAGTCTGCGTGTTTGAAACCGTCATGAAAATATGAAATTAACCAGATAAAAAGTTTGGTAACTCAACTGGCGCACCGAGAAGCTTTGAAATCTGGCCATGTGCTGGGAGACTCCATAGAGATCAATGGCCAGGCCTGGCACAGGTACCACCGGGCTCTATGGTGTTTCCCGAAGCAGGCGCCGGATTTGTAAGTTTGCCGAAAGACAACATCAGCGTGTTGGCTCTGGGGGGTGTAAACGGCAATTTTTGACTGTCTATGGTTTGTAATTATATTGAAATATTACGGCGGGTGTGAGGCAGACTGGGGGTGGGGAGACAATCCAGCTCTGGTGTCTATACCTATAGTTTCCAAAGCTGACTTTTGGGTTTCCTGACTTGCGGATTGTATGTTTCCTCTAAATAGCGCATTTTGGTTTTATTTTTGTCCTGTAGCTTTGCCTGCACCCTGCTGGGGCTTCTGCCGACTTGTCTCAAATTAACTATGAACCCGACTCTCAGGGGCTTCAAACTTTCCATGGTAAGTTCCGATCTCCGTTGTTCCACTTTTACTATTTTATTACTATTTTTTTATATAGATAGATATAGATAGATAGATATAGATAGATCTAGATAGATAGATATAGATAGATCTAGATAGATAGATATAGATATAGATAGATCTAGATAGATGAGCCATGTATAGTTGAAGCAGAACTTCCATTAATTTGGAAGGTACACTTTACTGCCCCCTCACCACCAAACACCATCCCAAAAAAGTTTTTTACAGGAAATTTAAGAGAAATACTTTTGCCCCAGCTGCAAAGGCTTCTGGGAGCCCCCGTGCCTTACCGCCACCTTCACCAGTTTTTAGCCGGCCATTTTCATGTCCATGTGAATACGTCGACACCTCACCATTATTCCGGCTCAGTGTAGATTTTCTATTGGCCCAGATTAAAAAAGAGAACTATGGGGTTCAGTGTTTTTCCCCATAGTTCTCTTTAGGGGAGGATGTATTCTAGCATCGCCCCGTGACCCAAAGCTCAGTATATCGCGAGCTATTGCACGCAATATACTGAGAGCGCCGCATCCGGGACGGATCCCAACAATACTGTCAAGATCCACCCAGCTGCGTGAGTGACAGCTGTCTCTGCCTATCTAGAGGCAGAGCCAGCTGTACCCGCCCCCTCCCCCGTCCGTTCCACCAGTCAGCGCTGCAGGATCAGAGAGGGGGAGATCCCTGCGGGGAGCGGTGACTGACGGTCACTGTTCACTGCAGGGGGACGATGTGGAAGTGAGCGGATCGGCGGCATGTTTCTGCTCACTTCCCGATCAATAGAGCCAACCTGTTTTGACATCTTTGTCACAGGTCCGCTCTAACTATGAGGGTGAGTGCCGATCACTCGCCTCATAGTTCTCCTTTAATGGAAACCATACGGTTAAGCCCTAATGAAGGGTGAGGACCTTACCCCCGGAATACATTGGCTGTATTTTATTCAGTAAACATTTCATGTCATTGTCAAGCTATCTGGCCATTTATAGCAGGTGGTCCTAATTTCAGACCCAATTTCCACTTCCTTCCTTCCTGAAAAGCTGGGCACCTGAAATACGACCAGAATACGCTCCAGTGCCATTCTTGGCAGCTTTGCGCTGTGAGCCTAGGCTGCCGGTGATCTATCCTTGGGGGGTGGGGGGAATGGTGTCCATGATACCTTAACATGAAGTGGATTGGATGACACCCAAACCTGAAAGAGGGCCAGTGCCTCAGGTGGAGGAGGGAACTGAGGGCAGAGTGGGGGGGGGGGGGGAGGGGATA